CTCAGAAAAGTAGTGAGAGTTTGGATTATGAAGATCTGGAGTGCCTCAGGGTGGGTCCACCAGCAGCCAAGGGGGAGACCCCTCCAGAGGAGCAGCCTTGCCCCTCCAGGCCTTCCACCAGCAGACCTGCTCTGCAGTCAGGAACAGCCGCGGTTCTCAGGCACATGTGGTTCAGGAGGACCAAGAATTGCCAAAACCAACAGAGCCTGGACAAGAGCAGGACAAAGCCAAGCTCAGGCAAGGAGAGAGGCAGCCAACGAGCCTTCCCTCGCCTCCACTCTTCCATACGGCTGGCGATGCAGGAAATCCAGCAGGTGAGCTGGGGCATATCCTCTGCCAAGCCTTGCCACCCGCGGCCACTCTGGGACACGTGGAGCTGCCCTACCCAGGGACAGGAGAGAGGAGGCTTTCACAAGTAACACTCAGTTTCCTAGCTCCTGGGTCACAGGTTTTATTGGGTGGTCTTGTGTCAAGACTCTCTTCATTGGAAGTGCCGGGCTGGGGGAGACCGGGAGATGCCCAAAGAAAAGTCCACAACAGAAGGGGCTGTGATGTAGCTGGCATCCCAGTCAGTGCTCCTCTAATGCTGTCTCTCTGCTTCTCACTGCAGTTCCCTTCCACCCCCTTGAACACCTCTGTACGGAGCCGCTGTCAAGCTCTCAGCATTGAGGATGTAAAGCCCAAGTGACACGGTAAGAGGAGACAGCACACAGGAGGGCAGAGAGCAATTGCAGTTCCCCTGGGAAATGGAGGAGCAAAGGGTCACTTCCCTTCCTGCTCCACCTGGAGCATCTCGTGGCCACCGACTGCCTAGAAATAGAGCAGGAAAAACAGAGGGCAGTGACCAGCTTCCATGCCAGGACTGCAAAGAGACCAGGAAAAATGGGAAAAAAACAGCATAAGGTTGGGTTCCCAGCACCTGTGGTGCACAGTGTGCTTGCAGTACAGTAACAAGGCTGCTGGAGGGAGCTCACAGTTTGTTAGAGGCCTGGGGCTGGAAGGATGAGTACTATCGGAAAGCATATCTGCATGCTACAATAGTCAGCTGCAGTGGCTTAATGTTGTGGAGAGAGGCACATATCAGAAGTGGGTGCTGGGCAGAGAGCCCTGTGGGGTAGCAGAGGCAATGAGCCGAAGGCAAGGCTGAGAACATAAGAAAGGGCAGCGGTCTGTGAGGACTTTAAACAAGGTCTCAGCAGCTGGGAATGCAGCTGGTTACTGAGGCTGTAATATACTGGGTGGGTTATAGGAGTATATGGAGTGGACCACAAAGGGCCATCTGACGTAGTTGGTCTATTGGCTATGCCCAATGCGTTAATTGTCTGAAGCATCTAGTGGATGAGCAGCTCCCCCGTGCAGCCAGCGGGTAAATCCCTGTCCCATTCAGTTGCTGAAGGCAGAAGGAAGCCATAGTGGTGCTGTTGT